GAACGGAGAACGGAGAACGGAGAACGGAGAACGGGGAACGGGGAACGGGGAATGGGGAAGATTTACTTGAGCAATTGATTATCAGATGGGGAACCGCTTGTTTATGTGTATCACAAGGTATACGGAAATTTCCATGTACGTTTTGCTATGTGTAGTCATAAGGCACATGGAAATTTCCATGTACCTTGCCAGATGTTTCGTAAAAGAAAAAAATTGACAGAGATTACCTCAATTACCGATAAATTTGCCCATTGTTTTTAAAACTGGCAAAATTAACAAAATTTGCGTTCTTTCATGTCAAGAGAAAGCTGCCTCTTACATCCTTTTGACCAAAGATAAACATTTAGGCTTACTTTTTACCATATTGTTGCCTTCCTTGCAGAAAACTCCTCTTTAAAGCTTATTCTCGCAACTAGATATTGGCAAAAATATTAACTTTTCGTGACATTTTTACCACAGCTGTCTTCAAAGCTCCATGCAGTCCTGGTAAAGTTTTCAGTTATTTACCCATTTCTTACCAGCTGACATTTTCGATACTCGTGGCAAAATTTAAGCACTTAATGCGAAATTGCGCCAAAATGTTTACTACTCTGGCAAAATAATAGCCAAAAAGGGCATTTAATGCCAGATTTGGTTCATCTGGAAAAAATTAAGCCGATTTCCTTTATTTGTTCCAGAAATTGCGTTTTAGAATATCCCGTTTGTGTTTAGAACCTGTTATAGTCCACCATTCACTCTTGGCTTAGATTTCTTCCGTCAATAGACAAAGTACTTGCAAGGAAGTTCTATTCCTACACCCTGCACGNTCCCGTTTGTGTTTAGAACCTGTTATAGTCCACCATTCACTCTTGGCTTAGATTTCTTCCGTCAATAGACAAAGTACTTGCAAGGAAGTTCTATTCCTACACCCTGCACGTAATAAAGTAATTTGCCGTTGTGTTTTAAGTTTGCATGCCTGAGTCTTAGAGAGCTCTATGTCCTGACGGCGAGTTTCAGTAAAAACGTCGTGAAAATTACTGAAATAAATTTCCTTCCAACTATAAGCTAGCCTAATCGATTTTGAAACACAAATTTCCGTCCAAGTATAAACCTATAGCCGATTTTGTGACGCAAATTTCCCTCGTATAGAAGCCCTTCCGAATATAGGCCCCTCCAAAAATGAGCCCCTCAAAAAGAGCCTTTGAAAAATAGAAGCCCCGGGGCTTATTTTCGGAATTCTACAGTAATTTATCTCCCTACTGCACAAAGGGCACGGCGGAGATCAATGTTTATCAGTCTCCCCCCACCCCTTGCCCCTTTCCCTGTGCTAGTTGCACACAAAGATAAAAAAAAAAAACGATCCTGATTCTGGTGGCAGAACTTGATTATCCTGTTTTAAAAAAACTTGGTGATCCTGGCAACAAAACTTGATTTACCTGTCAGCAGAACTTGATGAGCCAGTCGGGGTAAAATGTCGGAGTCCCTTTTTTGTCGCGTGACTTCCCAGACGCGTAATGAAGCTTAAACCACAAGAATGAAAGCCAGTGCGAACACAGGACAAGTGACTTGAACTGCTTTGATGTAGACCAAAGAGCTAACCGCGATTAAATGTTTTTAAAAAAACTGCTCAAGAGTATTTTTTTATGCATTATCTTTGGCCGGCGTTTTGTGGTTTGAAAATTTAGAATAAATCATCAAAGAAATACAATATCAATTTTCGTAGTTTTAGTTAAATGGCGATATCGGGTGAGTATGCTATTAGGGCCAGCCTATGTTGCTCCAAACAGTAAATGAAAGTAAATCATGGAATTCCTAATTATCTGACATTGTCTAACTGTTGAGTATAAACTTTTACACCAGATAAGGAAAATCACACCTTGCACCAACAAAATACCTTTAAATTTTAAAACAGGACTTTGTATTGCACAAAAACGAGTACAAATATCTCAAGGTGTTTGCACTCCAGGGAGCGAGTTAAAAAGGTTACATGTCGAGATAGGAAGAACCTGTAACCCTTGTGACGCTCTAGATAAATAAATAATAAATCAAAGGAGACCTATCGTCAAACTCGTGGATTAAGTAATCTAGAGATGAAACATGTTGGTGAAC